CCGGGGGGGGGCGGGGGCCACCGGAGTGGTGTCCTTTGTGTCTCAGCAGCTGGGACGGCCGTCCGGGCGCTCCGCCTGCCCCCGCGCGGGAACAAACATCGCTTCTTACAAAAAAATAAAACAGGAGAAGTGACAGGGTCGCGCCAGCGCTTTCCACATGACCTGCCCGAGAACAGAGCGCGTCTTTGTTAATCCAGCCGCCTGTCAGTCGGCCTCGCGCCCAGGCATAAGCCACTTAGCGCGGCCTCACCCCTGACCCGCCTGCCCTGTCGGGGGCGGGGTGCCCGGCCTGCGCCTCCTGCCAGCTGCTCCTGCAGGCCCAGGCCCCGCATGCCGGCCCGTCGGTGGAGGGGAGGGGAGGGGGCTGTCAGCCGCTTTGGGGCCTGGCAGCACCGTCAGTTGGGGCCGTGCATGCCGTGGGCCTCACCAGCACCTGGGACATGGGGCAGCACAGCACCCCCGTGGCCCTGAGGGCGGATGCTGTCCGCACGCTGCTGGCCCTGCCGGAGAGTGGCCCTATCTTACTGAACCATCACTCTTGAATGTGACTGTCACCGCCTCGCTCTTCAGCCCACGGCCCCCCTCCCAGGTGCCTGGGTCTCATTCTCCACAGCCCCAAGCCCAGGAAGGCCAAGCTGTGGGGTCGGAGGGCCTGCCAAGGCCCACGGGGACAGATGGGCGGCTACAGGATGACACTGGCCTGCCTGGCAGGGGCACCCCACCCTACTCCCGTCCATGGCGCAGAGAACGTGGCCAGCAGGCCCACACCCCGTGCTGTGAGGCAGAGACGGTCTGCTGACGGGGTGGGGGGGGGGTCTCCACCTGGGGCACCCACAGCGGGCCGGGCAAGCTGGCTGCCCGAGGTTGCGTGTAACCCCGCCCCTCTTCCCCACCAGCAGAGCTGGCCCGAGGACTACCCCGCCTTGTGGGCAGGTGACGCAGGGCGGGGGACAGTGCAGGCGGCTGCTCCAGGACTGCCCCCAGCCCAAGGCCCAGAGACCTACGTCCCACCGACCTGGCACAGCAGAGAGCAGGGACACGGGAAGGCGTACCCTGCTGTCCTCCCTCCGCCGGGCAGGGTCTCCCCGACTGTGCAGGTGGTGGCCAGAACCAAAGAATAGGGGTGCCACCCAGACCTTGCAATGCGAAAGTAGCTCCCATGTGTACACCCTTGGGTGTCATGGCCACAGCAGGCTGAGCCACTCCTGCGTCCACGGGCCTCCTGGGGGCTTTTTTTTTTTTGGAGAGGTTTTTGCTATAGGGCACGTGTGCTCGCCAGAAAGAGGCAGAGAGACAGAAAGTGAGAAATTACCCTCCGGGGGGATGGCCACGCCACACTCCCTTCTCCTCCATTCTCCTCTTGGGATCTTGGGCACACACGCACACGCACCTGGCGTGAGTTTAAGCCACCGGGTCCAGGACTCGAACTGCGGTCAACTACATGAGAGTCCAGTGACAATAGCCATTACGCTAACTGCTGATCCCTCCTGGGGGCTTTCTCAGGAGGGGAGAGGCTGTCCCCTGCCTGGGGCCTCGTCCCTTTGAGCAGAGCTGAGATGCACATAGGCTGCAGGTTTAAACCCCAGCCCTGCCCTTCCCGCCAAGCGCAGTCTCCCCACTCGGGTGGCCACAGGGGCCCTGGGCAGCAAGGCAGTGTGCACAGGGCCTCAGAGCGCCTACTGAGGTGCCGGGCCTGCGCGGGTCTCCCTTGAGGCTCTTCCTGATTGTGTGTTTGGGAGGGTAACCTCTGCCCCAGTCCCTGGTCGTCCTGGGACTCTACTCCAGGCCAGGGCCTCTCTCTGTCTCTGGTCCACAGTGGCCCCTTTCTCGTGGGCCCCGAGGAAGCCAAGCAGCATGACTGCACCGCCCACCTCCCCCCGCCCCTCTCCGTGAGAGGTTCTCCTGCTCTGAGGTCACCCTGGACTGGCTGGAAGGCAGTAGGGGGGTGGGTGGGGATGAGACCTCAGGCTGGGCTGGCCGCTGAGCAGCAGGGGGACTGGGCAATAGGACAGCCAGGGGAGGGGCCTCCTGGAAGCTGCCACACCGCCTCCTGGCCTGAGCTGAGCTGGCAACATACCCTCGGCCTGCTGGACTTGGACATTCCCCCGAGGGCAGGAGGGCTGGGAACCCAAGGTGACAAGTCCTGGGCGATATTCTGCTGCCCTGGGTCAGACGTGTGCATTCGCATGTGTGTGTGAGACCACACGGCCTGGCTAGGAGAGGCCCTGCTTCTCCACTCCTGTCCGCAGCAGTGTCCTGGAGCCATAAGAGGGAGGGAGGAGGAGAGGGAGGAGAGAGCAGGGGACACGGCGTAGAAACAGGCTGGGGTCATTGCCACGCTTCCCCACAGAGGGGACACACATGCTGCCTCCTCCCCAGAGACCTTTGGCCCATGTTTTAGATAGTTCTGGGGGTTCTTTTTAAGTTTGCATTGCATGGTGCAGGTGAAACCGTGACCCAGTGAGGGACAGCTGAGGACAGATGGAGGGTGTCGGTATGGTGGGGCCTGGTGATGTGCAGGTCGTGGAGGCTGCCAGGCTGCTCATACCCCCATGCGCTACCCTGTGTGTGCACGTGCACCCACATGCACACTCCCAGGTGCACAGCGTGTGCACACACGTGTGTGACCATGCACACACTGCCTTCCTGGGAAGTCCCCTCCTCAGCGTCCCCGGTTCACCAGCTCCCTGTCCTCCCAGTCTCATGTCTCCTGCTACTGCTCAGTCTTACTTTCTGGACAGGGATCTCTGAGGGCAGGGCGGCCTATGCTGCTTCTCGAGGCTCTTCCAGGGCTCCTGGCCCAGGGCACAGAGCCTCCGGGCCCTGCCTCCCAGCTCCCTGATCGGGGGCCTCCTGCCTCAGTCAGGCCGGAGCAGCCGTGGGCCGACCGTG